ATTAATAAAGAAACGAGCGACGTGCACGCTTCCCTTGTCTCTTCTTCTATCAATGTGTCTTCGGTCACGCAGCATCGAATGGCAAAGAGGGCAAAGATAAGAAGAACGAAGTTTGGGCCGCGCGCTACGGCGGCGTACAAGTGACAGCATGGAAATGACAGCGTGATTATGCAAGTGAGTCTCGGGCGTATTCTTCAGGGATGAATATATGAATGTATAGGAAGCTGGAACTTATGTCCGGGGGATATTAAGGAAGAAAGGTACGCTACGGAGGAAAAGTGGCGGTCTCTCGAGCGAATTACGCGAGCATTAGGACGCGATCGCGAGAGTACAGCGCGTCGGCTCGGGAACTCCGGGAAAGGTGCGAACGGCGGAAGAAGGCGCGGAGTGCGAACGTGTAGGCGATTTTACGAAAGAGATAACACCTCGAGGCTGAGGAGCGTATCGTTGAGATATTAATGTTGGAATAACTCATCGTTGATTCAAATGAGTTCCGTGTGGGCGCAACTTCCGCTAAATTTAACTCTATCTCTCTGTAATTTGCTCGCAACACAGCCATAAGTGAGCGATAAAGCACACACAGAGGAGGTTGAAAGGGCAGAAGCGCCAAAGGGACTAATGCTCAATGCTTATTGGACCGTGTATACGTTATTTACCAGCTTTCGGAAGTCTGATCAGAACGGCATAGCACCACTGGGCCGTGATCTTTGCAAATAATTATGCCGGAAACCCGGGGACTATGCTGGCTCGCGCGATATCCCCGATAATCGACCAGGTCGATATCAATCTGTAAATGAATATTTCAGCCGGCGAAGATGGTCGCATCCGCTGTAATCGATAAAAAAGCCCTCGCGAATGAAGCGCTTAATGAGTAATGTAGCTGGCGTTTACCTCCAAGTTGGTTATTAGGCGAAGTTCTTACTCCCGACTACTTTACGGCGCTTATATCATAGTCTCGAGAAGATAAGTTTTTCGGTCTGCGATCGTTTTATCTCTCTGATATCCTCCGAGTCTGCCGCGCGAGTTACCTCGAGAGCGTCTTCTCTAATAATGCCCGGCTATCTTATTTCCGCGAGACATGAAAATGTAATACACAATTAGAGATGATGTAATAAGGTCTGCTCAAACGGGCCGCGACAGCTCGCTAATTAATGTATTAACACTCGGGAGCGTTTTGACGCTGTCGAAGATCACGGTGTGAAGGATTTTACGAGTAAGTAAACAGGCAGTAGGGAGGGCTGTAAATTGCAAAGCAAAAATCCGTGGAACAGGTCCGTCGAGCGTTCCGCGAACGCGTTCATGTCGATGTCCGGTAATCAGCAATGCGAATTTGAACGCGAGTGTCGCAAAAATACGTGTTCTCAATTCGGTCGACCAAAGCCCTTTTACGCGCATTGTTTCGGGAAATGGAGATTTCAACACCATTTCCGCTAAACGAAGACGTCGGCTTTGTAGAACTTTATCCGCGCTCACATACACACGCGCGCGCGCGCGCGCGCGCGACATCTCAAACATCTCGAGCACCGTATATTGCGACGATTTGTAGTTTTCGCCGTTATGTTCCTCGCGGAAAATACAGTTTCCCACTGACGTTATCAAGTCGCAATACACCGGGAAATAATAATCGTGTAATACGTAAACGCAATGCCCGCCGTCCAACGCGCGCGAGGCAAAAAGAGGAGAAACTCGTTACCGTTTTTAAAGAACCATCAATCATCGCGCGAAGCTGTATATTACACTTCTTTTCTTTTTTTTTTCTCTTCCTTACGTGAAACGGGAGCTCGTACGGCGCATGATTCGGCAAACCTCTCTCTCTCTCTCTCGAGCGAGCGAGCGAGCGAGCGAGCAGATCTCGCGAGGAGATGTAGTTTTCTCGCTCGTCTCTCGTGCAGTCATTACACATTCTTTGTAAAGTGCGTTCGACTCGCCGCGGTCGAGATGGGTGTTCATCATGAGCGGGAGTTGCGATCACCCGGGAATCGAATCGGGAATTTCCTTTTCAAAACTTTCCCTAGTGAGATGTTGATAGGAACTGTCGGACGCGAATACTTTCTGCTCCAACTGATTGAAACTTACAAGCCGATAATTGGATCGCGGCCATCGCTATCGTGCGCGCCTTGGTCGAATGGATGCAATCGTTGTTTTGTCGGACTTGGCATGTGTATACACACACACATACATATATATATATATATATACATATATATGTATGTGTGTATGTGTGTGTGTATAAGTATGTATATATGTGTATATGTATGTATGTACGTATGTATGTATGTATATATGTATGTGTATATATATATATATATATATATGTGCGTGTATATATAGAAGTTTCGCTAAGAATTGGGTCTGCAGACGGCGCAAACTCTGTGAATCTCTTTTATAGATCGTTTCTAATAGACGCTTCTCCGAGTGGATATCGCCGTGCGCGCGCTCGCTTATATACGAGTTATGGACTTGAGCTTGTCGGAAAGTAATGACATCGGAGTTTCGACTTGAATCAGCCATAAAGGTTTTACTGTTGGCGGCACGTCGCGCGGAGAGTGTTACTATTCGAGCGCATTCCACCGAAATTCTCCAGGGGCTCGACAGCTGCGCTTGATCCTTTTTTCACTTTTGCTCCCGATATTGTCGCGTCTCGCCGCTGCTGCTGTGTGTATCCGTGTACCTGTCTGTCTGTCTGTGTGTGTGTGTGTATACTATGTATGTGTGTGAATTTATAGAACCTGTTTTTTTCCTCTTTTGTACAAGAAACACCTTATTGCGAGGCGCGCGATATTTTTAGACGCGAGCGCAAAGGGGGCTGACTCGTTCATTTATCATCGCAAAAATTGTAACAGTGGGAGGTACCTTCGGGGCTGTTTGAGATATGAATTTTTAGTTCTTTATATTGTGCGCAAAATTAAAAGAGCCGCGCTGTGTATGTTTCACAGCAGCGGCCAAACAGCTGTGTCTGTTGATGCCGTGTACCAAAATGGTGCATATATTAAAAAACAGATACTAGTTTTAATTAAGCTGTAAATAATTTAATTCAATTCCCTTGTTTCTTAATTTTATTTTATTTCTGACAAATGTCTTTGTGACTCTCGCGTTTTGTCGATCGCGCCTACGCCTACGGCGATGAAAATGCCAAAATTTTGTTCATCCTGAAAGATGCAGCCAAGATCGATAGTAGTATTTCAGTGTTTTATCAGTACACCGCGCGCGCGCGCGCGCACGGAATTTTGCATTTTTAGATGCGACTTTTAGATGCGATGCAGATGCTCGTGATATCTTTCTCCTATTTTTGTTTGTATCTCTATATATGTTTTGCATGTAAAGCATCATAGCGCTCTTGATACTGATGTTGCATAACTCGGATGAGTTATGAGTATTCGAACGAAATTTATTTCCCGCAGCGGTTCCAATACGGTAGATATTTTCAACGGACACTTTACAACGTACAAGTCCCTATTTATCGCGATTACCAATTTATTACGTAAAAATAAATGACAGATTTCCCCCGCGGCCGTATAAAATATCCATTGGCGTCTTATACATAATCCCCGAGAACGAACTGACGTTATTCTCAGGCACGTGATACAAATTTCACCGCAAGTGAGCCTGAGAGTGGCAAGTATATCGCGCGGTTTATGAATGATGTTATATCGAATTCATAAAGCATAATATGACGAATGTACATTCAGACCAGATTCCACTTTTAATGCACCCATCGATATGCAGCGGTATATCTGTGCATACTGGGACGTAATTTAAATGCATTAATCCTTTGAGTGGTGAACTATGATGTATCGTCATATCATGCGTGTGCCTGGAGTGCCGACGGAGATTTATCGTCGTTGCTGCAACATTCAAGAGATAAACAAGACAGGTGTACTTGAATTTCGGGCGAGATTTTATTAAACTGCTTTCGAATGAATAATCGATATTTCCGCAGTGAAACGATACCAACGCGCGATTATTGTTATGATTTATATCATATTGGATTCTTTGAGAATAAATCTTCGTTGGTAATTTGACAGTTTAACAGTTGAATTTAGGAGGAACAATAGGAGAGAATAATGCTACGCTAAACATCTCGAACGATTAACGTAAATTGTTCATTAATTAATAGCGATCTCGTCAATCGTGAAGCGATATTTCAATAATGGAAATGTGCCAACGTAATATGCAATGTAGATAGTAGTGGAAAGATTCATTGTAATGCAACATGCGTATTTTTCTACGCATATCCAAGCATACCGATCATATATAAATATATATATATATATATATATATATATATATATATATATACCAATATACACATATATATCGATGAAAATATCTGATTTATGAAGCAGAGGTAACCAGAATCGAGCCACGTCACCCAAACTCATGCATCATGCAAACGAAACAGCCTCGCGAAATCTTTTTTCAAGAAAGAATGAACGATCTCTCTCTTCGGACCACCCCTTTTAAATATCACACAACCCCGTACGCCTGCACATGACAAGCACGAGACCCGTGAAATATATATATACACAGCTGCTTCGAAAGTCTGCAACTCGCCACTTGTGATCCCGACGTGCGGCAGTGGTGTGTAGGCATTAATTAATACAACGATACATATCATTATCTTCTACATATCGCTACATCGTTCTAACGAAACTCAACGTCGCACTCTCGGACGCGCACTCGGATTGCTGCTCGATCTGGCGCAAACAGAACAACGAGAAAACGTCAGCTCAATATTTACAATAAAAATGCACGAAATTTGCAGAGGAGGAGAATGGGGAATGGAAAAAAAAACATTTTGCGGGAATACGACGAGTGACGAGTGCGAACAGCGCCTAAAGCGCAAAAAGAAGCAGTCAATATAGATAACGCTCGGGGCAGTCGCTACTTTACGCCAGGCCGCGCCATCCGCTCCGCTTTGTCGACGTTTGGGCGTGCGCAAACAAGAGCCGCGGAAAAACAAACGTTGCCGAAGGGAGTCGGAAAGTGGTTATACTCACCGGTGCGCACCAGCACGTTAAGCAGGACGTACAGGACGAGGGTGGTGGCCCGGTATCCGTGTATTATGATCATCAGCCACCTCGATGCGCTGAATCCTGCCGCGTGCCATAGACCCGTGCCCTCGTGCACCATATTTTTCCGGCTCGCCCTTTCAAGCCCGCCTCCTGGCCGCCGTGAGTTCCCGGCTGCGTCCTCATTCACCGGCACTCTGTGAGACCACGTATCGCGAGCATGTAACACGGGAGGGTTATCGGCGATACGGAGAGAGTCTTGGTTCACCCGGCGCGCGGAGCCGTGGCCGAGGTCGATTCCACCCCCCGGCCGGGGGTGAGCCGAGACGTCGAGAAGTCCTTTCGGGAGAGACGGTGGTGCGTTAGCCGCGCCGACGGACTGCTCGAAAATTCCTCGCGTGATCGACCAGTCCCGACACATTACGCGTGCAGTGCGCGGAATGTGTGAGTCGAGAGAGAGAGAGAGAGAGAGAGAGAGAGAGAGAGAGAGAGAGAGAGAGAGAGGAAGAGAGAGAGAGAGAGAGAGAGAGAGAAAGAGAGAGAGAGAGAGAGGAAGAGAGAGAGGGCGAGAACTCGGCCTCGCCCATGACACGACATGCTCCATGGAGACTGATTCTTCCGGCGACATTTTATTCGGAGGGGGATAATGCGGGATTAGAGATAACTTTTGGATTCGTACATCGGGATTACGCCGGTTAAAAATAGCGCGGAGCTTTAAGCTTTCGGGAGCTGTTAAAAGGGTAACGATGAAACCTACTTTTAGCGGCTGAATAGTTGACGTTAGTTCCGAGGACTCCGTAGTCTCTGAGAGAGGGAGAGAAGGGGGGGGAGAGAGAGAGAGAGAGAGAGAGAGAGAGAGAGAGAGAGAGAGAGAGAGAGAGAGAGAGAGAGAGAGAGAGAGAGAGATTACGCAGACAAAGGTATTTGGAGCAATGCAGACGTATACGCTGCAAAGAAAGCCGTTTGTTTGCGGGAGGAATTGCCTCTCGTTGACGCAACGATACATCTTTTCGACACAATGGCATTCATAGACCGTAATAACTGGATCGACTAAATATTGATCATATTAATCGTGTAATTTGTTCGGTTTATTTGATATTTATCTGAATGAGAACGAATATCTGTTTCATTATGCTCACCCAAGTATCAAGGATTTACGATATTCTATCGGATCAGTTTATCGATTTTGTTGGCACGAAGAGATAAAAATGATAAATCATTTTACAAATTATTTGCACAATTATTTGAAAGTTGACAGAAAGTAGCGGATAGCAATGGCGGATATTTTAATTCAATATAGCATACACCTTTAAATTGTTATTTATTAGTAGAAGAAATATCACCAAAAATCTGATAAACTCGCGCAAACCCCTAATAATTCTTTCCTCTAACACAGTAAATCTTGAATTATAAAGTATAAAGTGCCAAAAGCACACAAATTACGTGTGCACGTTGATCGAGATGTTTACTAAGGCAAATTTTTGCGGAGACGGAACTGATCGCCCAGCTTTGCTTACGACGGGCTTTACAATCGATCGGGAAGCAGAAGGCTGCTCGGGATGCGGTATAATTTGATGATCATCCTAGCGTGGCGCGAAGGAAGTCGATGGTACTTATTAATGCGAGTAAACAGGTCCGTTGATCTCAAAATTTTTCGTTCGTATCGCGAAATAGTCGACGAGCTTTTGGAACTCGTAATTTCTGTCGGCATCGACAACGTTTCCGACTTGGTGTTCGATGCGTCGGCACTTGACAATCACAAATGTGCGTTCCGCGTAGATGTTCTGATAAAATAGATTAGGGTCAATGGAGATTTAAAATAATCTGTACTTTACATTATTACGTATCTAAGTGCGGATTCACTGGCGAATGAGCGCACCCAATTTGATATTATGTGCTCCTTGCCGAAACATTAATAATATATATATATATATATATATATATCGTGAATTGGTGAATGAAATTTTTCATCATAAGAATAAATGGGACAGATATTCCTTTCTCTCTGTGTTATTACGTCGCATACTTCTCGTTATAAATCATACGAATCGTTCACCATTAAAAGTATTCATAAATTCCCAAATTGTCAAAGAACCAAATCACCAAAGGCAGAAAATTTGATGTAATAAATTCACAGATGCATCAATGAAATAAATGAAAGAATAAATAAAGAAAGGAAATGAGTAATTATTATATCACAATGACTAAACTGACAGACACGACAATGTCGCAAACTTGCAACGAAATTCATGCTGGATTTCTATCAAATAGTCCAAGGTAGAAACGAGACACCGTAGATGTCATTAACCTCGTAGCTCGGAACCAAAGGCGAATCAATTTAACGCGGTGCCGTCACGGTGCTTTTTCCGCATTAAGGAAATGCATGGCGTAAACTGAGTTTCGACATTGTCACAAACACGAAAGTTTTCTCCTCACGAAACAAGGTATCAGAACTCGTTTGTGTGGAATGTGTCTTAAGGCGCGACGAGCGAAGCTCTTCGCTTAAATCTTCCTCCGCACCGCCTACCTCCTGTCCTTCTTCATTCGACTGACGTTACCACCGTATAACAATATAACCCAAGAGACAACCGCGCGCACCGAGTTACGAAAACCGACCAGATTGTTTAGGCCACGTAGACTACCGAACAGAATCCCCGAGAAAGCGTTCAACCTTAGCGGAGAGGGTTAATGCAAGTTTATATTGTATATCATTCGTAATTCAAGATCCCCTATCTCACTGTAATAACCAGAGGTTGATATCGATTTAGAGAGAGAGAGAGAGAGAGTTTTTATCAGAACGCACCCCTTTAAGCGCAACCAAGATACGTTCCAAATAAACTGCAACGATGAAATAATGAGACGTCTATTTGCTTTGCAACAAAAATATTATTAATGTTAAAGGGAAATTACGCACAAAACACACTCGCCAATTATTTCCGATTCGAGTCCGTCCAAATCCGCAATGTCCCGCTTTAATGGCCGAGATTAGAAACACGAGCGAGCGGAGTGGAGAACGCGGTCGTATAACGTTTGAGCGCTCGCGCAAAGGTCTGAGGATCACTTTTACGCGTTTTCCGCGGCAAGCGCGAAGCTGCGCCTTCCAGGCGAACGCAGCGCAACGCAACGAGTTCCACTCCTTGGATACGCGAGATGATTTTTCCGGTAACGAGCTTAGTGTCGCGCGCGGCTTCTTTCAGCGTCGTTCTTTAGACCCGCCGGGAGAGAAGAGGAGAGAGAGGGTGTCTTTGAACGCATTCTTTCCGCGGCGTTTCCCCGTCGAAAACGCACAGGAACGAGCACACCTGTGCGTGCCGCCGCTACGCGAGCGCGCGCTGGCAAGTACGTTATTCGTCCCGTAATTAACCGGTGCTCTCGGAGGAGAATAAATCGAACGCTTTTCTCTTTCACGGGGTTAAACGGGGAATTTGCACGACGACGTCGTCGCAGCGTCTCGGCGACTCGAAAGAAGACGGCAGAATTAATATCGAGCTTCGAGAAGAACGAGAAACGCGGCCTCCCCCCCCGCCGCCGGTCCCGCGGCGTTCCACCCGCGCGCGCGGGTCCTTTTCTTTTTTCTGCCCGACGACGTCCGCAGCGACACGTAAAACGACGTTTCACCGACACGTAATTACTCGAAGACCATTCGACTCAGTGTCGCGCGGCAACGTGACGACGACGCAGCCCCCCGCCCCCCCTCCCCCCCCCCCGGCTCGAACATCAAAGTTCTCTTCTCCGGCTGCTAATTTCGAATGCGAAACGTCGGAATGAAAGGGCCGCGCGCGCCTCAACCGGCGCGCGGACGTGCGCGTTGTGTGGCAGCATTCCTCATCTGGTGACCGGGCAAATCTCGCGCGAGTTAACGTTACACACCTTGCCGGCCCGCTCTCGTATTCCGCCGGAGGTCTTTCGAGCATTATTCCGTTCGAGTAATATCAAGGCGCCGACACGGCGCGAAGAGAAAGAAGGAAAAACGCGCCTCTTTAGTGGGTGGAGATTTCCTCTCTGTTCTCGCCGGAAATCACGTCGCTCACCATCGTCGTCATTTCTCGCGAACATCAAGCGAATATATTATTCCTTCGGAAGTAAGTAAGTTCCGGTTGATCAAGTTGCTCTCCCGCCGACGACGACGGGGAGGCAAGAGAACGCGCGGCCGAAGAAGACAATGTCTAACAAGCCTCGACGGCGACACGAGCGTTTCTCGATTGTCAACAAGTCGCTCGCCGCAGCAGCAGCAGCAGCAGCAGCAGCAACAACGGACGGAGCAAAGCGAGTCCCGTGGCGCGGTTCAAGTAAGCGAGCGTTCCGGCAAATTGACGTGCGTTTGATCTTACGGGTAAATAGCCGCCCAACAGTTGGTCCGCGCGCGATTGTATCGCGCGGTCGATGCTCGGGGCTTGGCGCTTCTAAGCGTCCGTTGCTTTCGCGGGAAAAGAGAGACGAGAGACCCCAGAGATATTGTCAACTTTGCGAGCGAGAACTCAGCCGGGCGAATTCAACCTTGCGGATGTAACATTAGCTGCGTAAGATCGCGGCCGGCCCGTGTGCTCTCTCTCTCTCTCTCTCTCTCTCTCTCTCTCTCTCCCTCTCCGTCTCTCTCTCTCCAGTCTCGCAGCGAGAAGTTACCATGTGTAACTTCAATAGAGAACTTGCCTGATATCTTCAGTTCAACAAGTTCCACGACACACACGAATCCGCCCCTACGTTACGAGCTCCCCCGCCGGAACTCGGGGATCGTCGCTCGGGAAAGGCAGACGTTCCACTTTCGCAGAGACCCGGGGGTGTTCCCGACAATATCCCGGCTCTCGGGTTAGACGAGAGAGAGAGAGAGAGAGAGAGAGAGAGAGAGAGAGAGAGAGAGAGAGAGAGAGAGAGAGAGACGTTAAGGCATCGCCGGTGTGCGATATCCCTCGCGCCCGAGACGCGATATTAACTTCGTCACCTTCGGCGCGATGATAACTTCATCATCTAAAGCGCAACGCTAACCGCGTTAACGGGCAGTGCGCGGCTTTCGACCAGCTCGTTTGAGCCCTGCGCGCTCAAACTCCGCCCATGAAATGACCATAATTGTAAGACTGTCGCGCACGGCAGAGCAAGGTGTGCGACGCGACGGCTCGTTCCGCGAGCGACGGGGTCGTCTCCCTCGCCATTTCGCCGCGACTGCCTCGGGTAACTTGCTCCACGAGCGGGCTAGCTTTCT